TTTTCACGAATTTCAAAATGTTTGTAATTAATTAAGTAATAACTAACAGCGCTACAACTTCAATTGACATACGTCAATCTCTAACGCACGAGTCAGAAGTTGGCCATATCGCAGGATCGAAAGTGAAAAGGTAGACGTTGCCCGCGATATTTCAAGCCAATAAAACTCGTATAATATGTAAAATATTTATATTAAAGCATATATCGTTATATTCTTTTCAAACAATGCTACAATTTTTCTTACATCAAAATATCCACATTATTATAAAAAAATTAAGCATACCTCTTCATTCGTTAACACAAATAGCACATTTAATAGAGAACATTAAACAGAACAGAAAAGTTTTTTACTATTTTGCAATTCTCGCAATAATTATTTAAGTATTAATTTAAAAAGATGGGCGAATAAGCGCGCGTTTCGCGCAGCTAGATCGTAGGATGTAGTTCTAGGCGTGCCAGCGATGAGTGTCGCACGGCAACAAAAAGTTTGGTCGCGTGACGATATATACAGTGTGTCCCATTTTAAAAACCCTACGTGAATAACTTTGTAGAAATTTGTTTTAGCAAAAAATGTTTCAGACAAAAGTTGTTGGGTTTAGAGGGGGACATCCGATGATAACATTGGTTTAACCTAGGGTATACATGCCAAGATCATATAAAGGTCAACATTGTTTTTTTAAATGGAACACCCTATTTTTGATTTCAAAATCTAATAGCTGGTGTCAAGAGCTTTTCAAAACACTATAATAAAGTTATTTTTCATTAAGTACTTTTCGAGTTATGAGGCTTGAAAATTACAGTATTTTGACATAAAATATAATATATCTTGTAAAACATTCAGTTTTTGAGAATGTTACCTTAATACTTTTATGCACAAAATAATGAGACAAATAAATTGGTATAAAGAAAACACATTTAGATTCTTGAAAATGAGATCAATGTATGTAGGGGAAGGTGGGGTAAGACGGACCGCGGGGTAAAATGGTCCATTTGCTAGATCTTATTAGTAAGTACCTCTATCTGCTGGATAAACACAAAATTAATTTCCTTTTTGATGCTTTTTAACTGTTTAAAAATTACGTCATTATATCATAAGACTATCGTAAGTTATTTATAAAGAAACGTCAAATTCTTGCAAATAGATCTCGTGATCTAATTTCTTAGTATTA